GCACACTGGCCAAAGTGATCCCTGAGTAGCGCAACTTAGCTCTTCCAAAGCACACTGGCCAAAGTGATCCCTAGTAGCGCAACTTAGCTCTTCCACAGCACACTCGCCAAAGTAATCCCTGAGTAATCCACTGGCCAAAGTAATCCCAAGCGCGCAGCAGCGGCAGCGCGCAAACAACAGCCGTGCGCGGTGCAGAGGACGGCCTGCCCGGGCGGATGCACGGGTCTACAGCTGCCACGGGCAGCAGTTGCCACGAAGTGTCTCTCATAGAGCCATACGGCGCCTGGCTGCTACGCGGACGAAAGTAGCCGAAGAAAAGAGACAGCAAGTCATAGGTCTTGTACGGGAAGAGATCGCTGACCGCGTGCGACAGAAGCTAGACGAGGATGAGGTGCTCTTTCCCCGGGTGCAGGAGCCGAACCGGAGAAAAGAAAGGCAGATGGCCCAAAGCAAGACGGAACTTGAAGCAGAAAGTGTCTCAACAGACACCATGCCGTCGCGCAAAAGACACATGGAACCACAACAAGACAAGCAAGCGCAGCCGACGCCCACCAAGACCCAGCCCCGCACACAGACAACGCAAGCAGCACAGGCAGTGCCTGTAGGGAAGCGTGCAAAAACCGTGTCGGTGAGACGCCAAGTGCGCACAGACCACAAACGGAAAAGGGAACACGAAAGTGACAAGGGTCTGGCTCCAACCGAAACCCGCACAAACACCAACGCCAGGACAGTGCCGGCGCCACAACGAAACACTCTTACAGAGGGCTGGCCTACAACGCAAGACGAGCAACGCGCAGACTCGCCGGCAAGACCGCAAGAAGAGACGCAGGCCACGGCGACAGCCGCGCAGGAAACAAACGCAGCGCCGGCAAAGTTACCTGGACGGAAGGCCGCGAAGGAAATGTTCCAATATGCATGTCCTGTTTGTGAGGCGTCGGTGAGCAGCAGCGTGCGCACAGGCCGAATAGATCACCGCCGTGCGTGCGGGCATCGTTTTCGTGTGAAAGACGGCGACGTAGCCGCCAGGAAGTGTAACTATGTTTGTCCATTTTGCAAGGGCACGTTGCGAGCAAGCTGAAAACAGGGCAAATAGATCACCGAACCGTGTGCGGCAACCGGTTTTACGTCAAAGAAGGCACTGTTAGCGCGCAGACACGCCAGCATCCGCAAAGGTGCCCCGCATGCCACAGTGTGGTCTGGTCAACACTGCTCTTTGGGCGCATTCAGGCCACACACAACACACCTTCAGGAAAACAATGCCCGACAAAGAGCTGGCTAGTTCCGGAGAGCAAGCACGACACGACGAAATAGAAAGCGACCATGAATAACACCGGCTTTCGCAGGCAAGGCTGCGGTGCAGGAATGTGCAGCCAAGGGTCCCGGGAAGGGGTTTGGAGCCTGGGCAACGGCGCTGCCAGCTGCGGAGAAGGGTTTGAGGGCGGTCCAAAATGGCTATAATGTTGCTTTCGGAAACCCATAAGAAGAGAAGAGGCAGGCCTGCCAGCTGCCGAGAAGGGTTTGAGGGCCGTCCAAAATGCGTAACGTTGCTTTCGGAAGCCCATAAGAAGAGAAGAGGCAGGCCTGCCAGCTGCCGAGAAGGGTTTGGGGGCGGTCCAAAATGCCTAACGTTGCTGGCAGGCCTGCCAGCTGCCGAGAAGGGTTTGGGGGCGGTCCACAATGCGTAACGTTGCTTTCGGAAGCCATAAGAAGAGAGAGGCAGGCCTGCCAGCTGCCGAGAGGGGTTTGGGGGGGGGGCCACAATGCCTAACGTTGCGTAAGAAGAGAAGAGGCAGGCCTGGGACAGGCCAAGAGAAGAGGCAGGCCTGCCAGCTGCCGAGAGGGGTTTGGGGGCGGCCCAAAAGGCCTAACGCAGGCCTGCTATAAGAAAGAAGAGGCAGGCTTGGGACAGGCCAAGAGAAGAGGCAGGCCTGCCAGCTGCCGAGAGGGGTTTGGGGGCGGTCCAAAATGCCTAACGTCGCCTTCGGAAGCCCATAAGAAGAGAGGAGGCTGCAGGCTTCGGACAGGCCACAGAGAGGCCGCAAGAGGCCTGCCGGCTGCCGAGAGGCTTTTGAAGGCGGTCCAAAATGCCTAACGTCGCCTTCGGAAGCCCATAAGAAGAGAGGAGGCAGGCTTCGGACAGGCCACAGAGAGCCCGCAACAGGCCTGCCGGCTGCCGAGATGCTTTTGAAGGCGGTCCAAAATGCCTAACGTCGCCTTCGGAAGCCCATAAGAAGAGAGGAGGCAGGCTTCGGACAGGCCACAGAGAGGCGACAACAGGCCTGCCTCTCTCCCACCTGCCGAGAGGGGTTTGGGGGCGGTCCACAGGCCTGCCGGCTGCCTTGAAGGCGGCCCTAAATGCCTAACGTCGCCTTCGGAAGCCCATAAGAAGAGAGGAGGCAGGTTTCGGACAGGCCACAGAGAGGCCACAACAGGCCTGCCGGCCGAGAGGCAGGCTTGCCAGCTGCCGAGATTTGGGGGCGGTCCACATGCCTAACGTCGCTCTGGGAAGCCCATAAGAAGAGAAGAGGCAGGCCTGCCAGCTGCCGAGAGGGGTTTGGGGGCGATCCACAATGTCTAACGTTGCTTTTGGATCGAAGCCCATAAGAAGAGAAGAGGCAGGCCTGGGACAGGCCAAGAGAAGAGACAGGCCTGCCAGCTGCCGAGAGGGGTTTGGGGGCGGTCCAAAAGGCCTAACGTTGCTGGCAGGCCTGGGACAGGCCAAGAGAAGAGGCAGGCCTGCCAGCTGCCGAGAGGGGTTTGGGGGCGGTCCAAAATGCCTAACGTCGCCTTCGGAAGCCCATAAGAAGAGAGGCGGCAGGCTTCGGACAGGCCACAGAGAGCCCGCAACAGGCCTGCCGGCTGCCGAGAGGCTTTTGAAGGCGGTCCTAAATGCCTAACGCCGCCTTCGGAAGCCCATAAGAAGAGAGGAGGCAGGCTTCGGACAGGCCACAGAGAGCCCGCAACAGGCCTGCCGGCTGCCGAGAGGCTTTTGAAGGCGGTCCAAAATGCCTAACGTCGCCTTCGGAAGCCCATAAGAAGAGAGGAGGCAGGCTTCGGACAGGCCACAGAGAGGCCACAACTGCTCTTTGGGCGCACTCAGGCCACACACAACGCACCTTCAGGAAAACAATGCCCGACAAAGAGCTGGCTAGTTCCGGAGAGCAAGCACGACGCGACGAAATAGAAAGCGACCATGAATAACAGTAACACCGGCTTTCGCAGGCAAGGCTGCGGTGCAGGAATGTGCAGCCAAGGGTCCCGGGAAGGGGTTTGGAGCCTGGGCAACGGCGCTGCCAGCTGCGGAGAAGGGTTTGAGGGCGGTCCAAAATGGCTCTAAGGTTGCTTTCGGAAACCCATAAGAAGAGAAGAGGCAGGCCTGCCAGCTGCCGAGAAGGGTTTGAGGGCCGTCCAAAATGCGTAACGTTGCTTTCGGAAGCCCATAAGAAGAGGAGAGGCAGGCTTGCCAGCTGCCGAGAAGGGTTTGGGGGGGTCCAAAATGCCTAACGTTGCTGGCAGGCCTGCCAGCTGCCGAGAAGGGTTTGGGGGCGGTCCACAATGCGTAACGTTGCTTTCGGAAGCCATAAGAAGAGGGAGGCAGGCCTGCCAGCTGGGTTTGGGGGCGGTCCACAATGCTTAACGTTGCTTTCGGATCGAAGCCCATAAGAAGAGAAGAGGCAGGCCTGGGACAGGCCAAGAGAAGAGGCAGGCCTGCCAGCTGCCGAGAGGGGTTTGGGGGCGGTCCAAAAGGCCTAACGTTGCTGGCAGGCCTGCCATAAGAAAGAAGAGGCAGGCCTGGGACAGGCCAAGAGAAGAGGCAGGCCTGCCGGTTTGGGGGCGGTCCAAAATGCCTAACGTCGCCTTCGGAAGCCCATAAGAAGAGAGGCGGCAGGCTTCGGACAGGCCACAGAGAGCCCGCAACGGGCCTGCCGGTTGCCGAGAAGCTTTTGAAGGCGGTCCAAAGTGCCTAACGTCGCCTTCGAGAGGAGGCACGCTTCGGACAGGCCACAGAGAGCCCGCAACAGGCCTGCCGGCTGCCGAGAGGCTTTTGAAGGCGGTCCAAAATGCTCAACGTCGCTGCTTCACCCTGCGGTGTCCCAGGCGCCTCCCCGCCTAGGCTTTGGCTATAGGCCGGGGTCGGCGGATATATATATATACACACACACACACACTTCGTTACGGATTTGCCCGCAGACCCGAGTCGTCCTTATCCCAATCTCAATGCCATGTATATATTCAACTATATATTTGTCAATTAAAAGGAGACCGAGGCTGCAGCAGGCGTCGGTATGTGCATTTTTGACCCTAACAAATGATATGTGCCTGTAACTTGTCCGGTCACCTAAAGGTTCGGTCTGCTCGTTTTGTTTTTCATCAGGAGTACCTGCTCCAACGACGACATGGTCAACTTCACGGGGCATAGAGCTTGGCCTGTCGCTTGCAACAGACACCAATGCACCAACAAGAATAAGCAGCAACAACAATAGTATCAAACAGCAATAGCAACAAGAGCAACGATTTGGCAGGAAAAAGCAGGGACTTTTGAAAGGAGTGAATTGAATTGACAAGTGATTGATGATTGATAAGGAGCAATGAGCAGTTGAGCTCATAATGATACAATCCACATACACTTTCAGCTGTGTTGCACCAACATTGCAGCGAGGGACTGTGGACAAAATTGTGCAGAGGCAAAGTCCGCAGTTGTCCAGAGAGTGCGTCGAGCTAGTCCGGAGAGTGTGTCCAGTGTAGGTTTCGAATCTCAGTTGCTTTGGTCGTTTCAGATTTGCGGACGCTCAGCCCACGAAGTGAGGTGAAAAAGGAGAAGTGTGGTTTCTTGCTACAATTTGCACGCTTTGCATGCTTCGCCCTTCATGGCCATGACGCACTTACATACAATTACGTATGCCTGCCAACACGTTTTGTGGCTCAAGGATTGGCTGGCGTGTGATTAATCTAATCTCAACTCCAAGAATTTTGCTTTTGACGCTTTTGCTTTTACTATCAGTTGCTTTTCGTATCTTTAGCTTTTGTCCTTTTGGATCCTAAAAGCGAGCAAAGCGAGCCGCAAGCGCTCCTTTGGGCTTTGCTTTCACGTCCAGTTGGAAGATTGCAGTTTGAGCCTGATTCTCAAAGGGTGTATGGTGATCGGTGAAAATTTGATTGGTGGAACCTACTTGAACCTGTACAGCTTGCCCTTGTGAGGCTCAGTGGGACAAAGTATCCATGCCTCTTTGGGTCGCAGGATTCTGAGAACTCTGGAGAGATTGGGAAGAGGTTCCGTGGTTCCAAGATTTCAGTACAGAAAGACCATCATGAACAAAGATGCAGTGTATGTGTTTCTGTGTGTGAGTTTGATCAAGGTCGTTGGAGGTGCAGATAAAGGTGGTATTTTGGTTCGGCGTGGTCAGGCCAGGATGCATCCCATATTCAAGACATTAGGTTAGACGAGCTGTCGAAGCCACCCACTCATGGTCAAACTGAGCAACTAAACATAAAGAGAATGGCAGGCGATTAGAGAGCAGACCGAGAGAGAGAGAGAGAGACAAAAGCAGATGGCAAAGAGTGTTGGGAGCACTTGCTGCTTGTACTTGAGCACAGGAGCTCTCCTCTGCAGCCTGCACTGAACGCTTGTCTACTGGCGCTGAGGCTGAGGGACCAACTGGGCAAGTGAAGATCAGAGAGGACAGTATTGGAAGATATTGGAAGAAAGGAGACAGGAAGCCTAGAGAAAAACAGAGGAAACACATATCGCGCCTTTGTTTTGGTCTTGAGGCCTTTATGCCAAACACAGGTCCACGGGGTAGTAAAGCCAAGACCAGACCGTGGACCGGACTCTGGAAGCGGCCGAAGTCGTGTGAAGCCTTCAAAATAGGGATTTCTGATAAGAAGCAAACGCAAAAAATCTAGAAACATCTGACAAAAACATTCTTCAAAGCACTTTTTCAAACTGATGTTGGAACATGACCAGCGCGCTCAGGTGGAGCAGTTGCACATCACTGGCGAGCGCCTCCACTATCGGCGTATCTTGGGCAGTGGTCCTGAGGCCAGTTCAGACAATGGAACAGTTTTCAACAGTGTTCAACATTTGGAATCAATATTCAATAGTTTTTGCCTCAAACAAGCACGTTTGGAGAGAGCCAGTGCTGGAACCCGCAATGAGTCAATGAGGCTTCCTTCTCAAGAAATGAGGGCAACAGGACAATTTGCAAATCTTGGTCGCGTTTGGTTCATGCAATGGCCAGGAAGGCTGGGTAAGTGTCCGAATCAGCGGCAAAGAACTGCTCACAAAGAAAGAAGAGAAGGCGGCTTCTCCTTTTCGCCATTCGTGTCACGACTTGTTTCACGACTGGCGTCGCTCGTGCAGTCTTTTGCGTCCAGCTGTCCAGCACACAAAGCTCTGACTTTCAGACCCACTCCATGGATGGGGACGGTGAGCAACGGTAGGAAGCAGAGGAGAAGCCACAGGAAATCAAAGCCGAAAGCAAACTGGTCAACTACTGAGAAGTTTGACTTTGCCCAGAATTATTGTGAAAGAGGAGCTTGTGTCTTGAGGTTTTGACATTGCCAGTCAAAAGCAAGGAGGTAGTTGGGCCTTCTTCTGGCTACACCCATCGATGGGCACTCTTCTCAGCTACTGGATTGGGATAAAACACATTGTATTTTTGTTTGTTCTGTTGAGGCCATCAACATCGATGACTGGAATCCGGCAGGAGGATCTGCTCGGTTCTCAGCTCGAAGTTAAGCTGGCCTAGTCCTTTCTGTGTGACTTTAGCCGTCCCAAGGAAGGCAGCGAATTTCAGTTCCTGCTCCGCCTGATCAAGGAAGAAAATGAAAGGAAAGCCGCTGCGCTGGCATGTTTCTGTTGTTGAATCTTAGCTCAATAGCATGGTGCCTCATGAGCAAATGAAGCCTGCAGTGAGCCGTAGCGCAACTGGCAGGTTTTGCGCTTCAAGTTTCTGGATGATCAGAAGCGAGCGCTGATATCGCGGCTTTTGGTGCGTGCATCTCTCGATTTAGTTGTGTCATCACTGTGGACACTTGCAGCTCATGATTGCTTTTGCAAAAGGCTATTATTGAATTCAACTCGTTTGACTATGATGTTTAGTTGCGTGCAAGCTCCTAAGGCCAAGCAAGTGCATCTTCGCTGCAACTTGGCAGTTGGCAGTGAGCTTGACCTGGTGCTCAATGTAGTGGTGGAGCAACTTGTTTTTCATGGATATATGGACTTATATAGATGCACTTAATCCAGAAGTATTTGCAGAGATCCTGTGACGAATAGCAGTATAGTCCCCGTAAGGAATAAAACTAATTTCGATGGCATGGAGATCAAGAGAACCAAAGGAAGGCCGGGGCTTCTGCACCTTGAAGCATTTTATTATGTTTTTCGGAAAAAAGACAAAGCATCAGCATCAGGACTCAACCGTTATTGTGGGAATCCTTCAGGAAACCGTTCTTGGCACATCCACTATGCCCAGAAAATGAGGCCGGTCAGCACCTTCTGAGCCCACCATGCGGTTATGTTTAGGCTTGTTTCCTCAACCACACGTTTCCCCACCTTTTCTACGCAGCTGGCAATACCTGAGTCCGGCCCTATGGGCTGACAAGTTGGAAGACCGCAGCATTTGCCTGACAGGCACCCAACTGGAACGTAAATTGTTCTCATGAAGGCAAGTGGGCAAGCGCCTTAGATGGTGGAAGTTGAAAAGTTTTCAGCCTTCGTTGGTGCAAAAAAATGCCCAGCGTTTTTGTTTTTGAAGCTTTTCCAAATTGTGCTACGTCAGGTTGTAATGGCCAGTGAAGGTCATGTAATTGCTGGCATTGACGTGGCAGAGTGACTTGGCAACCAAAGCGGCCTCAAGGGTCAAAAACGGTCACAAGGACATCATGACAAAAGGGCCATTTTGATTCCAATCCGACCCATCTCCACTGCCTCCAAAAACCTCTCAGAGCCTCTCGCCCCTTTTCTTCGGACTCATCCCAACCTTCCCCTCATGCTACCTACTCCCATATGGCTCCAAAATCAACCCTGACCAGTGCCAAACCTTTCCTCTATAACACTTCTTGCTCCGAGACAGGGTGTCAGTGCTGGTGCTGGTGCCGGCCCACGTCTTCTCTTTACGCGCTCCCTTCCTGATTCTTTATACCCTTACTTTTGTTCACGCTTTCTTCTTCCACTGAATTCTATAGATTGCATGGGCAATCCTTAAGGCTCCAGGCTGATCGGTGAATTATTGCACTCAAACTAGTGTGCAACATGTTGTGGCAGTGGTTTGGTTTGTGCCAAGCAACACTGCTTCTACACTTGGACGAGCAAGTCTCGTCAGCTCTTTGTTGCTTTCATCTGAATAGACACACACACATACTTGTAGAAGGCGGAGGAGTCAGAAACCCCTTGTTTGAAAGTTGACGTCTAAGCTTCAGGTTGCGGCGAACGCGAAGGGATGGAGAACCCATAGACTTCCACGATGTGTTCAAGGACTGGCTGCTTCCCCGTGCCATGAGATGCCATAAATGTGTTACCACAAGGTTGCATTCGTGCTGCTGCTCACGTGGCCTAGAGGCTTAGAACTTCACTTGCGAGGACAATCTGACTTTCAAAGAGTGGGAATATGTAAAGACTCATGGACCTTGTCCAGACAAGGAGTATGAGGCCGCGTTTGACAAAGAATTCGGGCCTGAGGCAGCACTGACTCAGTTGGCTTGTGGCCTGAGGCCTTCTCCCGCTTTTGGTCAGCCAAAGAGGCCTTTGTGAAAGCACGAGGAGATGGCCTTGCTTATCCTCTTGGGAAGGTGACTGGATTGCAGCCCTGAGCCCGACTGAGCCCTTCATTTCAAACAAGTTGGATTGTGGGACAAGGTGTGTGTACAGCTAGCCGCTAGCCTGGCCGACGGTCGGTTGAAACATGGTATTGAGAGGTTTTGTGTTGTAGTGAGATTGAATGGTTTAGCCACTGGGTTGACCTGCGGTGAGAGGATAGCAATCTTTGATTGCTCAACCTTTTGCAGTGAAGGCTGAATTCCATTGGAAGCCGCTCGATGGCTATGAACTTGGAACTGCTTTTGAGGGGGATGTTCACATTGAAGGCGCTTTACCAAGAATTGTCGTAGCATCACTGTGGCTTTATAGCATTTTGGCTTTTCGTAGTTCAGTATGGGACACACACAATTTAGTATACCATGGCATGGATTGCTGAAACCACAATACACTGCCAGTACAATGATATGATGGGGCTTGTGCTCAAGCCTGCGAGGCGCACACAGCCCCAAGTGGAGATTTGTGCAGTACAGGCGGCAAAGTCATGTGCTCATGCATTGGAAGATACCATGACATATGGACTACAGCAAACCAAGCATGCAAGAGCTTTGCGCAATTGCTCTACTGATTCCAGGACGAGTAGAGCTGGTTCATCCACCTTTATTTTTGTGAGGATGCCTGGAGATTCACCTCATTGGACAACTGTGGGGAGGGGTCCGTTGACAGACATCGTGGATGCGCAGCATTGCCCTGTTTGACGTACAAGAACTCTTACTTGCTTTGGTGTTCCCTCTTATTTGCACCTTGCTAGATTATTCCAACCACATGCCAGGCACGGGGAGTTTAAGAAGACTCTACGAAAGCCGCAAGAGCTTTTTTCTGATCATGAGTGGGAGGCGGAGTCCTTCAAAGCTCAGCAATTGTGTGAAATGTGCTTCCATGCTTGCTGTGCCACAGGCCCACTTGAACTCACACAGCCCACACTTCGACGTTTTGCCAATAAGCGCCCTAGTTCCTCAGGACCGTTTGCCAATTCCGCTGCACAATTCGCACCTGTTTTGTTCTGTGCTCACAACTGCAACCTCTACTCGGCTGCCCCCTAGCCCTAGACATAAGAACTTAGACTTACATACATCAACACGACACAGAACAGAATATGTGTCTTTTGTTTTGCATTGGGCAGCACCGTTGTGTGACGACTCATCCTTTGGAATGATTGCCGTTTGTCCAGTTCCTCCTATGAAAATGCATCAAAGTTCGCACCGTTGCTTTGTTTGCTGATGCACTAAGTCGTGACTAATGCTTTGCGTCCTCGTCTCTTTCTTACCTTTATCATCTTCAAGAAGGCGCGTGCCGGAAGGTGTTTCACCTCATTTATCCCAGGTTTCACTCGAACATTAATCAGTTTCTTATCCATAGGATTCGGTGCACAGACCTCGTGTCTGCACGTTGAAAAAAAATAAGTCGTGATTCTTTTAGACTTAACCCTCAAGATAAAGTCCGATTCCGCAACTGGCCGGGTCCCGCAGCTGGCATTCGGAAACTATTCAGTATGATGATGAATTCCGCAACTAGTTTCAGAATCATCCTCTAACCTCAACGACGCCCACCCCCACACCGCAAGAATCGAGCATCGAGCATCGTGATGAGTATATCCCGGGCGTGTCATTCCATTCTGATCTTCATTCTTTCATCTCCATCACCAGCGACTGACTGACTGACTGACTGACTGACTGACTGACTGACTGACTCCCTCCCTCCCTCCCTCCCTCCCGCCCTTCCTCCCTCCCTCCCTCCCTCACTCACTCACTCACTCACTCACTCACTCATTCTTTTGCTGGCTCATGCACTCACACTCGACTCGTTTCGACGGATGCAAGCCTCCACGCCCATTATCCTTGTCGTTGGTAGCAGTGCCAGCCACCAGCACCTTGTGTGTGGAAATGTTTTTGTCCAGAGTTAGTTTAAGGGGACATTGCTCAGGGATAAGCTGGGACAAAGCCCACAAACTCTAACGAACCATCCAGACCCAAGCCTTTACTGTAAGTCCGTTATGTTCAGCAATGGCTGGTTTTCACAAATTAGAAATCGATCCCATGATCAAGGGCTGGGCTGGGATTTGTCGTGATTTTGAGGGAATCTGTAGGCTTGTCACGTAGTGTATTGTAGTGGTTTATTTGGTGATTGGGTCAGGTAAGCACCCAAAGAGCATCGTAGGCGCTTCGCTGACCAGATGCCTACCTGTCTCATTGAAACGATGCGCAACCCTGTGTTCCATGGATTGTTGCAATTGATCGAAGCGTACACTCTGAAGGATTATTTCAGCCTTCTTGCTTTAGTAAGGCTCTGCCTTCTGCGTCAAAGAACTTTGCGTCTTTGCAGCTTCGCAACAACTTTGCAAGCGCACCCTAGCTTTTCACCTCGCCGGGCAAGTCGCCAAAGTGTACAACCCCGCAGCACCACCGTTGAGATTGGACATGCAAAAATGTTGCTTGAGCAAAGCTAGATGAATACGTACATTTCACGAAAGTGGTCTCGCCTAATGTTAAATCACAGGTAGTAAAAGGGTCTAAGACACGCCTCACTCTTTGCTCCAAAGGACCCACATTTCCTCCTCCCCTTCCAGTTTAGGTTGCAGCACACCTACTGCATATTGTACAATATTCTTATATATTCTTCGTATGATTTATTCATTTTTTTTAAAAAAACCCCTTGCCTTTGCTTCATTGGAGGACAACATGGCTGGGTACATTGCAGCGGGTGGCATCTCCTTCCCTTGAGATTGAGTGATGAAATTTGTTTTTGAAAGACCAATGTACAGCTGCATGGAATGCAGTGGGAGTGCAGTACTCACTGCTGTAGGCCAGGCAGCGTCTAAGATGCGCTTTGCCTCTCCAGCCCATTGTTCCTTTGTTAATCTCTGGTAAACTCTGTTATACTATCAGTTTTTAGTTGGCAACATTTGTGCAACGTATCACCTTTTGAGGAAACACCGCCGTTGTCGAGCCTCCTGCTCGAACGCTAGTTCTTGCTTTCAACTTCCCCTGTGTGGGGGCTGGAAGTGATTCAAAAGAAGGAACTCCCAAAGTAGGAAGATTGTTGAACATCAGAGCTCTTTTTCTGCAACGCTGGATCTTCATTGTGTTGCATTAAAAAGGTGTGAACATTCTTTTGCATTCCTGTGTGTTCACTTCGACCAATGCCACTCGAAGCAAGGCGAGAACCGTCTGCCAGGAAGTCGCTTCGAAACGGTGTGCGCTACTGCCCTGCGCCAGTGGTTAAGATTTGAGACTAGAGACCATGCGCTGCACCTGCAAGCATTCTGGCGTGAGATTACCTAGAAGATGGCCAGGCCAAGTCGTTTGGCTGACCCGCCCCGACAGCAAGCGGGCTTCAATAGACGGAACAACCTGGAGTGTCGTAGTTGCTTTTTTGGTTTGGCCCACAATAGCGAAGCTTGGAAAAGAAAAAGTCTTTTACGCACACCACAGTTGGGTGGCTTCAGTCCTTGCCCCACTCAGCCCGACAGCTAGTGCGCGAGCAACTGCAACGCTATTGCCAGTTCACCGGTGACTAACGGTGTATAGAACCTTCGCTCACTAACATGAATGCAGCCGGTCGCGCTCCAAAAATGTTGAAGCATTCATCAGTGCAAACAGTCACTACTTTAGCATTGACTTTATATCTATATATAGCACTTTTGTGCCAAATTAAAGAGTTAAAAGGGCAGGATCGAGCAGCGAGACAATTTGATTGATCTACAGGTCCGCTTTTAGGCTCTTGGCAAAGGGCCGCAACAAAGAGGAACTGCAGGCCGTGTTGTGTACTCTCATTCATGGATGCCTAGGATGTTATGCGAAGACCAAGCATTTGCATGTTTGAGACAGACTTACCGCAGCTGCAGTGTGCTTTTTTGTAGTGTATCAAACAAAACCTGTAGTGTATCAAACATGTTTAAGAAGCTGTTACAAATTTGGGATCTGAGCATGTGACTGGCAACGTGATTATGTCGTTCAGAGGTCAACTCGCCTGTGGTGTAGCTCGGCATGGCCACGAGGCCAATGCCCAGGGACGAGATGGGAAATACAATTCCGAGGAACGCTAAGCTAAGTACCGCTCCAAACCGGTTCAGTGAAGAAATCTTTTGGAAAAAGCAGAGTAGTTTGTGGTGTCTGTGAGTGTGTGGCCCAGAGAACATGACGAACGTGATGTTGCAGAAGTGTGATAACCACCGCTGTTATTTGTGGCAAGGCATCGCCGGGAGATCAGCTGAATGTTGTGGCCTCAAAGCCTCCTTGGCTCCATTTTGGAAAGGATCAACTCAATAATAAATATGCAATTCTTTGTGGCTTTGCAATTGGAACTCTTTATGGACTTTGGCATCCGCATGGACATGTTTTGGAGTCCTTGTCATTTGTTACCTTTATATAGTTCAGCTTTTGTAAATTGTTTTGATGTCGACCTTTGTTGTTCCAGAGAGAAGCAATGACAGCAAAAAGGGGAGTGGTTTGGCGCAATAAGTTACCACTTCCCACCTTCCCAACAACATTGTGCTGAACTAGTGGTCATTGCGCCGCCAGACAATTGAGGGCCATTTATGTAAGCAACCACCCAGCAAGCACGCAGAACATAGTTGCATGCCCAAAGCCCTGTGCAGAGCAACCAGTTTGAACTCTTGAGTGGCCTTTTCAACATTAAGGTCGTTGGGTACTAGCTCTGTTGACGGCCCGGGCCCTTGTTATGTTCCTTTTTTTTGTAGAAACCGCATTGTTTTTTGAACACTTGTTCGTGACTTCCAGACAATCAAATCAGCATTCTGCAAGGGTGCAGTTGCCCAGGCCAAAGCCGAGCCAATCCTTCAAAGCCCAATTCCAAGACGTCCCTGCTGGGTCTATGCAAGCCACACACACACATGACTGTTTAACAGGTTTATGACTTATAACTTATAACTTATACCGATGCCTATGAATGTGTGCTATCAAGCCATTGCTTCACCAAGCACGGTGAGGCCAGCACCCACAGTAGGTAGAACATCGGCTGCCAAGCTTGTTGGGGGGCCTCAGCATGAAGGGCTGTAGTAGTTCGGACATATTTGGCTGAACACAGGTTCATTCATGTTAATTTACTTCAGGCTAGCCTTGATTGGCCTCCACCGCCGAGCCCCGCTACGACCATGCGACCGCACAGTGGGAAGCTTGCATACTGCAAACTAGACTTTCAACTTGTTGGATCAAAAGGAGGACGCTACTAGGAGCAAGGACGCTACTAGGAGCAAAGGGCATTGCTACTAGGAGCAAGGACGCTACTAGGGGCTCCTGGCCTTGCTACTCGGAACAATTACGCTACCTCGATCATTTGATTTTGTTGGGTAGGTGGTGTGCTGGACCTTGGCCGAGCTATAGCCTGGCAGCTCAGGTTACATAAAGCACTCGCGGCCCCAAATGATATCACGAATGAGGGCGATTGCCCACTTGCCGTTTTGTCCAGGAAAGGGGGCTAGGAGCAACATCCCCAGCATTTGAACAGGACTGCTTGCGGAGAGAGGGGCCTTCATGCTATATTTGGTGGCTAAATTTACTTCCCTGTCCATGTTTTTGCAGGGTTTCAACCCTGTTTTTTATTCCACATTTAGCTATCCATGTTTCGTTTTGACAAAGTGCAGTGGATGTAGCTGGACATGCTGAGCTTTTTGACACAGGAAGATTGCAGAAACAGAGTTTCCAGAGCTACGGAGCTGCACAATCGGCAGGTGGGTTAAACATGTGACATCCAAAGCTGCTTTCCTCATTTCGGTATGGAAGAAGGGCACGTTGCTTGGTGCGGGTGTCCATCAGATCACAGTATGATATCAAGGTCGTGACGTATCAAGGGGTTTGCTCGGGGTCTTTGAAATGACTTCTGGAATTCAATGGTACTAGTAGTCTGCCTTAGCTCCTTGTTTTCTTGATGCTCGTATGCTCACCACACGCTATACCATTTGTGGCGGTTTGCTGTTGTACGGCGAACTGACAAACTAGATAGACTAGCTAATACTTATTTCTTTCGCTTGCTTCGTGAAAGTCGCTGTGTTTCAATCAACTAGGCCATCGAGATGTCTTGTGCTTTGCTAAATCTGTATTCAACTCGTGCTGCTGGTGCTGCTTGTGACTGAGCAGCAAACAAACTGAGACAGTTCTGAGTATAGCCTTTCCAAGGTTTGTGAACTGCTTGGTTGTAGCATGCAATTGGTGCTGCTCAGTCTTTCCACTTTCTCAGAGATTGCCTTCCACATTCTTGTTTCA